GTGTGTGTGTGTGTGTGTGTGTGTGTGTGTGTGTGTGTGTGTGTGTGTGTGTGTATATATATATATATATATTGTATGTAATTAATACTTTATTTTATTTCCTATCAAATAATGAATATGTATATATATATATATAGAAAATGAAGTGAAGTTTTAATTTATATTTATTCAATAATAATTTAACTTAATTTGTTGATTTGTTTGAAAGTGGTTAAAGTTATGGAATATAAGTAATGCGAAAAAAGTCAAGAAAAAATAATTAATAACGTAAATATGTTAAAATAATAAAAATATTTAATATTTAACTATTACTTTATTCATATACGACAAAATTTTTTATTCAATTTATATCGCTTATTTATTATTTATAGATGCGTTTGCTTCCTGCCATTATTTTTATCTGTTGGTCCACATTAATAACTGGGAACGACCACAGATTCAGACACTTAAAGAGTAAACCCTTCGACGAAATGGAAATTGAACACAATTCTCGATCGATGCTTGAGAACTCTTCAGTGGACCATTTATTAAAAGATTTAATATTTAATCGACCAATTGATAACATGGATAATTGGAAACCACTCGCTAACACTTATTCAAGATTTCCCGAATTTTATATGGATAAATTAATCACATCCCAGTGTCAAGAGATAGTTTTTATAAATGCAAGACTCTCTGACATTAATCAGGATTTCATTATCAGTTCTGTGATTACATGCCTTAATATCACAAATAATAACATTGAAAGAATCGCAAAAAACGCCTTTAGGAAGCTTCCTAATTTAACTTATTTGGATCTTTCTCATAATAACTTGAATAATCCAACAGAATTATTTAGTTTTGGAAGTCATAAGAACCTGAAAGGTCTCTTTTTGGATAATGCAATTCGCAAATTTGAATTTAGAGACAAAATCGAAATTTCCGAAGAAAATTATCCTAATTTAGAAATCTTATCTCTCCGAAACAATATTTTTACCGATATATGGACTTCACGTATGAAATTCTTAATAGAAAATTCGAATATTTTTCAATTCCCCAACTATTTACATACAGAAAATGATCTAAGTTTTTCGAATCATTATATTGATGATGATATTATACAAAAAGCTCCATTTCCTAAATTAAAATATTTAGATCTTTCAGGAAACAATATGATAAGTACTGATTTTGTAAAATTACTGCCGAGTACTTTACGTTGTCTTGATCTTCATAATAATTTGCTCACAACTTTGACTTTAAGCGATAAAGGAAAAAATTTACTTACACTAAATTTAAATAATAATAATTTTTATTCAGTGAGAAAACAATCATTTGTACCATTTAATCTGAACGAGCGATATAATCAACATACTTATAATGAATATAATTCACATGATCTGATTTATCAGTATAATTCGGCGTTGAATCTGAGTGGTCTAGAGAATTTAGTTTACCTTTCGATTTCTAACAACAAAATTAATTTTATCGAATCAACTGCTTTCCAGGATATCAACAAGTTAGTCTATTTAAATTTATCCGCAAATGAAATAAATAATCTCGATAAGAACACCTTTGCAAGCTTACAATCTTTGAGCACACTTGATTTGAGTTTTAATAATCTTCAGAGTGTTCCATTATTCTCACGTGAAACAAACATCAGTGTATTATTTTTAAATTGCAACAAGATACAAAAAATAATATCACACTCTTTTATTCAAACATCAAGATTAACAAAATTGTTTTTGGAAGAAAATCAGATTTTTGAAATCGATATTAAAGCTTTTGATTATCTTTATAACTTAGAGGAATTAAATTTATCGAAAAATCTGTTACATTTTCTGCCGGAAGGGTGGACAAACCATTTATTGTCTTTGAAATATTTGAATTTGAGTAATAATACATTCACTTCGTTGGAATCGCTACCGTTAATCAATGCAGTATCATTAATAGAGATACATTTGATAATGAATCCACTTAAACATCTTAATGTTAATTATTTCGAAAGTTTACCACAAAATCTTACTATCAACTTAATGTAAAGTAATCTAATTTTATTGAAAATTAATCATCTTATTTGGTGGAAATTTCAAACAAATTTCATATAAATTAAAATTTTTGAAATTTTGTTCTAAAAATATTCTCAATGTTTATTGAAGATAATATAAGTTTAGTAGTTGATAAATGCATTTTTTTTATATTTATTATCAAAGAATTATCTTACTTGCGATGGTTTAATAATGGGGTTTAATAATTATTGTCACAAAAAAATATATAATTATTTTTATTAAGAATTATTTAAACTCTTTAACAATTTATATTTACATATATAATATGATCATATTACAATAATATATTATATATATATAAATAGTAATATTATTTAAAAAATTTTTAAAAATTATTGTAATGGATAAATTATTGTAACTATAACAATTACAATGTCATGGAAAAAATATATCCTATTTTATTTTTAGAATTCTGTTATTTTTAATAAAAAGAGAAATACTAAAAACATTTATATATAATTATAGCATTTTAATAATATCTTATTAAAATCTTTATAAATCTTTTCTAATGTGTTTAACTTAACTTACTTCCCTGCGGAAAATTCTTGTAAATTTTTATAAGTAATCTCATAAGTTTTTATGAGTCGCGTAAGATCTTTTTATTTATAAATTTTATATAAGATTACATAAAATTATTCAAGTTTGTGAAACAACTTTTAAGATCTTGAAAAACTTAAAAAGTTTTAAACAAAATGTAAAAATATGAGTATGTTATAAGAGTATCTTATAAATAATTGAATTCATGTTTTAGGATAAGATATAATAAGATTTAAGATTATAACTAATTCATTAAACTTTAATTATAAGCTTTTAAGATTTTATAAATTCTGTTAAAATAGAATTGTGTTTGTAAGCTTTTTAATATAAAACCTAATAAAAATTTATGCATATATTGTACTCATGCGCTTTTATATATATATTGTACTCGTGCTGCAATTATAATCTTTGTCTTTAAATAAAATCAATAAAAAGTTATTTTTATAAAAAAAAATTATTTCCCTATTCGATATGAATTAGTTCTAATTTATAAAAGTCTCTAAATTACAATAATATCAAATTATAATAAACAAGTTATCAATAATATCAAATGATACTTTTAACATATTTTGCCTGTAAGCAAGAGTTCAATTAATACATGATACGATATATATCCATTCATATCAACTAGTAAAAATAATTATTGTATTGTGTATAATAATAGATATTAATTGTTCAGAGTGTATTAAAAAATCTTGTATATCAAATGCATGAACGAATAATATATATGTAGCGAAGCTACAGAGATGTATTCAATCTTTAATTAGTCGGCTGGTTCTCGGATAATAGATACGATAACAACCTACAGACACGTTTATCTCTTACATTTAATTATCCCGAAAAAAGACTTCATTTTTGCTTCTCAATAGACGAATTTTTTAATTCATCGATTAATACATCGCATTATACGCAAATGCAACTTTGCTCTATAAAAGCAGCATTTGCGCATTATGCGATTAATCTAATCGAATAGCGAAACCAATCAGAAAAAAACACTTTTACCTCACTCCTTCTTGATTCTCTCTATTGAATGAGGAATTATATTATATATAATATAATTATATATAATATTATATTATATATTATATTATATTATATTATATTATTATTATATTATATTATATTATTATATTCAATCTATAATCTATAATTGGTCAATTCTTAATTTCTGATTTATGATCTATTGCTAATAGCTTATTGTAGAAAACCTATTATGGGTATTCATGATCAGTTCTTATATTTAAGATTGTCTTAAGATAACATTTTAACCAATAAAATAGCCGTATGAGCTTAAAACCGATTTGCTGTCGCTTATATTACGGATGGGGCCCGTTTGATCACGTTGCAATTGACCACCAGTCACTCATAGCGTTTGAACAGAGGAAAATTTCTAGACACCGGCCACTGTGAGTGGCTGTGATCAATCGCAACGTGGTTAAACAGAACGCTCCCTTATATTACGTTCTCGACTGTGATTGGTTGATTCGCTTATTGCTTAAGTTTACTACTTAATTTTTTGTGTGCGTAGCTCTAAATATTTATTGGTTATATATTTATTGGTAATATATTTATTGGTTTTTGACGGTATGAAAATGCAGTCAACTAGTGAATTTCCTCAAGTAAGCCCTAAGAAATTGGCCAATCATAATCAATTTATAGAAGAATAATCGAGTCTGTTTGCTCATCTACTACTGGTGTAATTAACCAAACATAATCGAGTATTCTTCTATAAATCGATTATGATTGGCCAATTTCATAACGAGTTCGACAGTGTCGGAGCGTACCGAGGCCGAGGTTGACAACGAATCGCAGTTGCCTTTCGCGGAAAATCGATTGAACTCAGATGGACCGCGGAAAAGAGACTCGACTACGTTCACATCGTCGCGTGACCACTGCCGCATGATATAGAACGAGACAGAAGAAGAGAGAGGAAGAGAGGGAGATAGCGAGTTTTGGCCGATGGCGGCTGTCAACTCGCAGAACTCAGCCCTCGCACGGACGGTTTCTTGGAAAGTCTCGCTTGTCCCGGGCCGAAAATAGCTGGCGCGCGCTCGCGTTGAATGCGCGCGGCACGATTTACAGGACCGCGCGACTGAAGAGGAGCCTCTTATATGACATCGGGCAAGGAGACAATGGGGTAAGTAAATTCCGGCCGCCTCGGCGCTCTCTTTCTCTCCTCCGCGCTCCGCCTCCTTTTAAGGGTGTGTAATGTTCCGCGTGCATGCGACCGAACTCGCGTGCCGCGGTGCTTATTCCCCTCGCGTATGTGCGTACATACGTGCGTGCGTGCGTGCGTGACGACGGAATTGATCCCCCGGAGCGCGTTGCGCCCCGAGGATGTCTCGCGTCTCGCCGGCCCCCCCGTCGTATTGCACGCACCGGATCCGCTCGCGGAAGATGCGGTAGAACGATCCTCGCCCCCCGCGCTGCGCTGCGTTGCGTCTCTTTGCTGCGTACATCCGTCTCCCTCGACTTAATTACCGGCCTGATTGGCATTAATGCGGTGCGCATCCGGATAATATACCCGCGAACCGTCCTTTCCTCATTCGTGAGAAATAACGATGCGTTAATCTCACTATTGGAAGAAAACCAATCCTGGTCGAGCGAAAATTTAAAAAATCGTGCACGAAAGTCCGAAAATCTCCAAAGATTCCTCGAACACACTCGAATATGTATTATTTATGCAATAAGGAATAATATATCCAACTTTTTTTAATGCACCAATATTTATTTCAAATAATTCATAAATTTTCTTGTATTAATTAAATTAAAAATAAGAAAAATTTCATAATGAAATAATGTATTTTTTATATAAAATGTATGAAATCATATTTTGCTTGTTGATATTAAATATTGGATATGCAATAAATCTCTGCAGGTTTCTACATCTTCTTCTCATTCTTCTCCCTTTGTAATTTTATACAACAATTCTGTATAGTTTTAATACGATCATATTAATGAGGTCAGATAAAAATAGATCCTTTGTATTATATATGAAAGACCACATACGCACTGTCCTATTATTATTCAAATTGATTACAGTGAACAACCAATTTTCATGTGCAAAGCACATGTATTTCACATTGATCCCAAGACCAAGCGGTCTTGGGTACCGGCATCGTCGGCAGCAATATCAGTATCGTTCTTTTATGATTCCACCAGAAGTTTATATAGAATAATCTCAATTGAAGGAACAAAGGTGATTATAATACTGACATTTATTAAAATAGACAGAGGAGATATACATGTTTACTCTTTTCTTCTTTCTTTTTCTTTAGCCTGTCATAAATAGCACAATTACTCCAAACATGACTTTTACCAAGACATCGCAGAAATTTGGCCAATGGTCGGACGTTAGGGCAAACACTGTATATGGTTTGGGCTTCGCATCCGAGGCTGAATTAGGAAAGGTTTGTATATCGCATTCCTTACAATCTGCAAAATCTTTATATATCACGCTTTCAAGGAAAATGTTCTTTGTTAACAGTTCATTGAAAAGTTTCATGAAGTAAAAGAAGCTACAAAGTTGGCCAATGCAAAGTTACAGTCAAATAGTTCTTCAGTCACGCCAGCTACCAGCGCGAATGTCAGCCCAATTACATCCCGATCGGGTGTGCCATCGTCAGAGCAGGACCTCATAGACCCACCGAATTCTTCGATGATTAACTCCAATGTGTCGTCGAACAACCAAAATGCGAATGTCAATATGATCTCTGCTCAGAACAGTGTATCTTCGGTAAGCAGCAGTCCTTTACCTGGTAGTTGTCAGAATAAAGTGGACGACGAATTGAAAAACGCAGTCCATTCAAGATCACAGAGTGTTTCTCAGAGTACAGAAAGCCCGCAGCATCAAGGGAAATCAGCGCAATTGAGTTCAACGCAAAGCGGACAGTCGGCCGAGGTGCAACTTAAGTATGAGAATGACAGGCTGAAACTGGCTCTAGCTCAAAGTTCTGCTAACGCTAAGAAATGGGAGGTACGATCCGGATGAATATTCTATTTTTATAATTATAAATAGGCGGTTCGCAGGCAATAAAAAATTATAACTGGTGTGTTATAGGTTGAATTGAATACTCTTAAGACCAGCAATGCAAGATTAACGAGTGCGTTACAGGAATCTACAGCTAACGTTGATGAATGGAAGAGGCAGCTACAATTGTACAAAGAGGAAAATGCCAAAATAAAACTTAAATATGCTGATTTGGAAGCTGGTAAGATCGCGGAGGGAAATAGCGAAGCGCTAAGATTGAGAGTCGAAGCATTGGAAAATGAGTTGAGAACGCGAAACGAAGAAATCAAAGCTCTCACTATGGCCACTAAAAATAAGGATTTTGTGGTACGTACGCCTAATTCGCTCAATCCCAGTGACTTATTCTCATTGACGTTTTACGTCATCTTATCAAAGATTTGATTAACGAATATTTCTTTTTCGTTTTACAAGGCTTTACAAAAGGAGAACGCAGAACTCCGCGAGATGTTAAATGTAGTTCATGAACAATTGGAACTTGCGTTGAGTGCAAATAAAGTTCAAAAACAAAATTTGGATACGTTAAACGCCAGATTAGCTGGTTACATACAGGATTTGGTAACGGTACATCGAGAAATCACAAATACGCTGCAGACTTAAGTTTGCATAGAAGAAACCTAAGAACGCCTCTCTTAGGTCTTTTGTATTTATTATAAGCGCGATGTACGAATGGACGATATAGATTAATAACAAAGAGAGAAGTTCCGAGAACAAAGAAATCGATTAATCGAGCAGAAAAATAGAATACTGAGATAATCGTCTCGAAAATAGTATACTACAGAAGAGATTGCTCCCTGATCATGTATTTAAATTGAATTGATCTGTTTTTTCTTTAAAGATAAGTTTCGTGCCATAATCATGCTATTGTTATACAGAATAGGACACTAACTTTACCACCTGTTTTTTTTTCTTCTGATATTTTACACGTCTGCATGAAATATATAATTTTAGATGCGAGATATATTAGTAGGTTAATTTCGCATTTTAATTTTGTTTTCAGAAATATAATGATTGGTCTTACAAGAATTAAAAGAAATTCCGCGCTTTTTTAAAACGAAAATTTTGATGGAAACTGACTTAATGCTTATCCGGATTATCTTTTCCTGAATATTGCATTAAATAAAAAGTTTCTTACATTTTATTTATAATCCGCGAGATATAGTAATAGCTCTAACAATTATATTATTAGACTCTCATTCCAGAACATAGAGTTTCTCATTCTAGATACAGTAATAGTCATTACTGTAATAATATCGCAATGGTTATAATAATGCATTCGTAACCGCGTTCTTATTTGTAACTCTCAACGACTGAGAATTGAAAGTGCCGATCTTTTATATTTATTCTTCGATCGATATAATTTATTCTAATATTATCGAGATTAATCTTATCGAGAAAATCTTATATATTTCGTAAAATATGGATATTACTAACAGAGAGAGACTACTTCTCAATGAGTCTACAAGTGATTTAATAGAACTCGGAATGAGAGCCTAATGATTAAAGTCAAATCATGTCATATGTCGACCAGATACTGATAGATACGGGTAATATGTAAAAGAGATTATGTGCGAACACTGGAATATATTTAAGTAATTTAAATATTTTATATCAGCAGAAAGTTTTTGTTAATATTCTTGACATTTTTCAGATGTTACTTACAATGAATACAAGAATTTAAAACTTTCTGTTATACTGAATGGTATTTAAATTGATCGAATCTGTTCGAGTGTTCAAATATATTTATCTCTCTATGGATAATACAGGGTGTCTAAAAATATACGGTCAAACTTATATATTGTATTAAGATGGTCGAGCATGTGAAGACAATTTATATTAAACTTGTCCAGAAATGTACTTTATATTAACAAATTACGAGAGGTTGAGAATTTCCTAGCAAAACTGTTTTCATCGCTTTCTCATAGTTTTTTGTCATGATAATTAAGAAGCAAATGCATGTCAGTTATTGTTTAATATTTCCGCATAATAATAATTACATTTATTTAAATAAGACATTACAAAGATCCAATAAATGGATTGTATAAACTATAGCAGACAAATAATATGCTTATATATATAAATAGAAAAGAAATATGGACAATAAGAGAAATCAATTTCAAGCAATTTATATAGGGACGAAGAAAAAAATGTTATATCATATTCTTTTTATATTTCTTTTAACTGTTACTTAATTTTTCTAATCTATTTTATATTAAATTTACTACTTTAATATTACTTTATAATAATATAATGGTATTTTTATGTTACTTTTTTACTTTTCTACTACAATTTTAATTTTAGAACGATTTTAGATATAAGATGACAATGACAAATACGAAATTTTCGCAATTTTTAGATAATGTTTGCATAGTATAAATTGCATAGTATAAATTAAGTGAATGTAACAATGTCTTCTCTGAAATGTCGTTTACGAATCATTGCTTCACAATGTGTATAAAACCATCTTTGAATTTTATTGTGCAAAGTGCTAATCATGTGTCTAACTGATTGATAATATACTACATACATTGATATATGAACAACAGCATGTTTATGATAATTTTAATCTTTTTGTGAAATATGTTTTCTTATGGATTAAATATTCATTTTGCATTTTTCCTCTTTATTAAAATTCAGGTGAATTGTATTTTGTATGTTAAAAGTTAATCAATTTTTCACAATGTCCGAACATCTACAGGTATGATCTTTTATATATAGCTTTTTCTGTTATGTTAGAAGAAAAATATTCCAGATGGTAAAGTTCGGTGTCCCGTTCTGTAAAAACCACATACAATTTTTGAATTTGCTGTATGTGAGCATCATTCT